ACCTGAGTACAAGTACCCAATTCCTGTCGAGGATTGCTGGGCAGCATTCAACTGGGTTAGTGACTTGGTCATCAATTCCTTCACTGCACAATGTCGAAGTCTGAGACCAAAGGTCTGACAGTCGGTTCAGATTAGATTGAAGAAAGCAGACGAATTCAATATCGATCCGGATCGGATGGCAATCGGTGGTGTCTCTGCAGGAGGACAACTGTCGGCCGTTCTTGCACATCTCTGCCGTGATGCCAACATTCCACTGCGCCTGCAACTATTGACTGTGCCAGCCTGTGACTTGCACAGTGTCTTCACGCCAGACGGACAGTTTGACCGCGAGAACTGCCCATACGAGTCATACCGGGAAATGGAATTTACGCCGGCGCTTCCAGCAGCACGAATGGCATACTTCCATAGGCATTTTCTTGGGAACCCTCGACCTCCCAGATCCGAGGAGGTAGGTATCCGCTAGGATACGATGTTTGTCTGGGGATGCTGACAAGGAGTTAGGACTGGAAAATCTCTCCTATGCTGGCTCCTAATTTTGAAGATTTAGCACCTGCTTTGGTGTATACAGCAGAGATGGACCCTCTCCGGGATGAAGGCGAGGTTTATGCTGCCAAATTGAAGGATGCCGGAGTTCGTGTGGAACTGATCCGTGCTGTCGGAGCACCTCATATTTTCCCACTATTGGATGGAATTTTGGAGTCGGGGAGGGTGTATAACGAGAAGGTGATAGCCACGCTGCGGAGGGAGCTTTTGGTGTAGTCTGAGGACACTTTTTATCTCCAAGACAATAAGATATGCTATGAGACTACGGAGTAGTGTTTATTTATGACGCCAGTGTTATTCCTTTCCCGGACAACTGAAGAAGAAGGATCATGGTTTATCCGACGACGATATTTACCATACATTACCACTAAGACCCCCGAATCTAACGGATTTTGAGAAGATTGTCCGGTGGTATTGTGTTTCTGGAATACCGGACCGGGTGTTTTCGGCAGAGAAGCTCGGAAACTGGTTGAGATAGCTCTGTAGAAGAAACAAAAGGGCAAAAAAAAGCGGCCGGACGGAAACTGGCAGAAGCTCTGTTTTAATTGTCTCATTCTACTCGTCTTCTTCTTCCGCTCGCGCTCTTTGCTTCCCTTTTTTACTCATCTTAGCCTCACGGCATCCCAATTGAAAAAAATCAACAGCTTCGGCAACAGCCAATATGCTGACTTCATCCACCAACTCGTCCCGAGCCGCGGTGCGCTCGATGGCCTCATTGACACATGCAGCGACTCGTACCACCTCGAAGAACGCCCCCGCAGCTGCCCGCAATGCTTTGGCTTTCGCTGCCCGCTCCCCCGCTTCGTTCAGTAGCCGTCGGGCGCTGAGCTCCAATACCCGTTCTCTCGTTCAATTCCCCCGCCTTCAGTCCATTCAATCCGTCTCCAACAAGAGAACTTTTGGCACAACCGTCAGGATGGTGAGTGTGCAGCCTTTTCCTGATGGAAGAAAAGCTGGCTTGACCGATCCGCGTTATCAATGTGTCCGCAGGACCTTGTGATCGCAGTCAGTGGAATATTTGTGAATCATGGTGCTGATCATCTTCCTTTAGGCTTCTGCTACACGAACCGAATCCGATGCCTTCGGTGAAATTCAGGTGAGTAACAGACAGATCCTCTCCTCTGTTACAGGTTCTAAGGCGGCTGTCTTCTAGGTCCCGGCGGACAAGTACTGGGGAGCCCAAACCCAGCGGTAAGCGACCGAGAACAACCGGCATTCCAAACACCAGCCAGGGATCCGGCGAAAGGGACTTCACAAATTGCTGATCGAGATGAGGATAGCTCCCTGACCAACTTCGACATCAACCAGCCCCAGGACCGCATGCCGGCGCCTGTGGTCAAGGCCTTCGGTATCCTGAAGGCTGCTGCTGCTGAGGTCAACATGCGCTATGGTCTTGGTAAGCTTTCTTTTCGGCGAAAAACATTTAGTTGAGAAAATGCTCATGCATGTTCTAGACCCCAAGATCGGTGAGGCCATCAAGCAGGCTGCCGGTGAGGTGGCCGAGGGCAAGCTGATGGACCATTTCCCTCTGGTTGTCTGGCAAACCGGTTCAGGCACCCAGTCCAACATGAACGCCAACGAGGTTATCTCGAACCGTGCCATTGAGATCCTTGGCGGTACCATGGGCACCAAGAAGCCTGTCCACCCCAACGACCACGTCAACATGTCCGCCTCTTCCAACGACTCTTTCCCCACTGCCATGCATATCGCTGCCGTCCTGGAGCTTGAGAACACTCTGCTGCCTTCCCTGCGCAGCCTTCGTAACGCTCTCCAGAAGAAAGTCGAGAAGTTCGACAAGATCATCAAAATCGGTCGTACTCATCTGCAGGACGCCACCCCCCTGACTCTCGGCCAGGAGTTCTCTGGCTACGTCGCTCAGTTGGACCGCAACATCGAGCGCGTTGAGGCTTCCCTCCCCCACCTCCGCTACCTTGCCCAGGGTGGTACCGCCGTCGGAACTGGTCTGAACACCTTCAAGGGTTTCGCTGAGGGTATTGCTGAGGAGGTCACCAAGCTGACCGGCACCGAGTTCAAGACCGCCCCCAACAAGTTCGAGGTTCTTGCCGCCCACGACTCCATCGTTGAGGCCTCGGGCTCCCTGAACACCTTGGCTTGCTCCCTCTTCAAGATCGCCCAGGATATCCGTTACCTCGGATCTGGACCTCGCTGCGGTCTCGGCGAGTTGATTCTGCCTGAGAACGAGCCCGGTTCGTCTATCATGCCTGGCAAGGTCAACCCCACGCAGTGCGAGTCCCTTACCATGGTCTGCTCCCAGGTTATGGGCAACCACGTTGCCGCTACCGTTGGTGGCATGAACGGCCAGTTCGAACTGAACGTCTTCAAGCCTCTGATGATCCGCAACCTGCTGCACAGCGTGCGCATTCTCTCCGATGGCATGAAGAGCTTCGAGAAGCACCTTGTCGAAGGCCTCGAGGCTAACGAGCCCAGAATCAACACTCTCCTCCACGAGAGGTATGTCTACAATCCTTTGCAATCATTCTATCTGAAGCGCTAACCTGCCCTAGTTTGATGCTTGTTACCTGCCTGAACCCCGTTATCGGCTACGACATGGCCTCCAAGGTCGCCAAGAACGCTCACAAGAAGGGCATCACCCTTAAGGAGAGTGCAATGGAGCTCAAGGCTCTGAGCGAGGAGGACTTTGATAAGCATGTTCGCCCCGAGCTGATGCTGAGCCCCAAGGAGAAGAAATAGAGGTATGAAAAGCTGTTTGGGTGGCCGGAGCTATGATTTAAGGTCTTGCTTATCTTAGAGCGCTGTAAGGTAGCGGTTCATTATATTTGTATTACTGAAAATCTACTGTACTATTTATTCCGATAGGTTACCCTCTTTCGTAAATTTACGAACAAGTCGGACTCTTTACTGCTAGAAGGAGTATTCCTGGCTGGCCTTGGGGCGCGCTTTGGGTGCCAATGCATAGAACAATCAGAACTCTGGCTTTTTTATTATCAACAAACAGGTACAGAAAAATTCAGTGCTCTTGTTTTATTTGAAAGAAGGGTCAAAATGTACTAAAACCGTCAGACATGTAGTTTAGAGCTGAACAAACTTCGCCGTCAGGAGTATTTATATGTAGGATGTTACCATTCCATACAGTCTCCCGGGATCATCCTTTTTTCATCTGGCCGCTCTATTTATTTTCCTTTTCCTTGCCTGATCCGCCATGCAAAAGCATTCGGGCCTAGCCCTCCTGGGTCACTGCCCATGGGATGCTCCATCAGATGAAGTTGAGGATGGAAAGAACTGGGCGGCTGAGAGCGCCCCATCTCTTCCTTCTATTAGCTATCTTCCTTAAGTTCAAAAAATCCTGTGAATGGCATGGTGAATATCAGAACTGGGTAGAGGTCTGTACTTTAATCAAAAACCTTTAAGCAAATGATTAACCACTTTGGGACAGGCGTAGCCATCTTTTATACTTGCTCTATAGTTGGTTCTCTTCCAAGCCAACATTTGTTTTCTCCTAAGGTGCCAAGAGGGTCTACAGTACTTCTTCTGCCCAAGGGAGCGGATGCAAATGCTCCCTCCTTGCCTATCAAAGGGGCCACTCAGCACAGCCGTCTGGACATGGTGCGCATGCTGCTGAATGCGAGGACTGTAAGCTCCCGCCAGACAGAAACGTGGTTCAACGCGCTCTTTCTTTGGCCAAAGATAATAGTCTTCCCTGCCATGGTTGGCTTACTCGAGCGTCACTGTACGGGAGGAACAGATCACTGCACCAATGAATGTGGCGTCGAGTCCTCAGCTCTCATGAATGGGTGTATACGCTCCAGTTTTCTATGAACAAAGAAGTAGGCTTTTTGGGGTCGAGACCTTGCTGACATTCTGCACCTTACTATATTCTAGTAGCTTAAAACCTCAACAACGTCTTGATATTGTACTAAAATGTCCGAGACCTCGTTGAATGAACCTTCACCCAGATATTAGGTAACAGAATAACGAAAAACCATCTTCTGATCCTTCTCATTGAGTGGCAGGTCGGTCTCGAGGACGTCGCACGATCCGAAAACAAGGACGATACACGTTTCCTTTGACATTTGATCATCCTTCGTCTTCTTCGGCTGGGTCCCTGACAAAGCGCGGAGAGTCCCTTCAAATTTATCAAAGCAAGTGGTTTTCTCAGCCGCGGTCTTTCTTGTCGGTCCGTCCGGTTCTTTGTTATCGAGTACACGGTAGACAATCTTCTAATTTTACCACTCTTTCATATTTCCGAACGGTTTTGGATTGTACCATGGTTCAGGATGTCGATTTCAACGAGGGAATGACCTCGAGGACTAACAGAAGGAGCTGGTCGTTTACTCCAAGTCGGAACAAAGAGTTCTCACTGTGCATTAACTGCCAGTTACTGGGACTAACGTTGAACTCTGCATATATATATCAGCATCTCTCAGCCAGGATATATTAAAATCAAGATCGTGAACCAACTGATTCATACACGCAAGATGGCCGAGTTCCGATTTGGCCCTAAAACCCGCAGTGATCTAGAGCAAGTGGTGTACCGGACCTACATATGCCAGATCTCTCGCTTTCTAGATGCTCATGGAATCCCCAATGTGCTCTGGGGGGAGCTTATGCTGAATGCTTCTCATTCCCCTCGTGATAGACGTAAGTCCGCAGTTCCCCCGAAGCAGGACAAATGCAGCTGGAGGAGCTAACCACCAGATAACAACAGGGCATTTGCATTGTCATCCCCGATGAACATATTGACAAAGCGCGCGACCTCTTGCTAGCAGCCGGCTGTCCCCCGTGCCAGTCAGGGAGCCTTTGCCCCTTCTACCATCCCTATTCTTCCCGCGCCATCCCCTACGCACACTTCAACCTCGTGGACCGCGGCCCCTTGGACTTCTACAAACCCGAGATATTCGGCGAAAATCCCCGGGAATGGTACACACTGGAACTCTTCAAGAAGTCTGACGTGCTGTGGGGAGCGCCTGAGATCCCACTCGGCCCACCCACTCCTAATGATCCTGATTATTGGACAGTCAACGATGACCGACTTCCTGAAGTCGCCATTGAATACCATCTAGGCCGCATTGTCGACGCGGATTATCCAGTCAAGATCCCCTCACCAGCGCGCTTCGCTGAGTCACTGACCCTCTTGTACTTCCGGGACAACTTTCCAGAAGAAACTGCCAGAGGGCACCACTGGGATTCGCTGCTGATGGATATGAAGGTATTTCTGAAAAAGCACCGCCTTTTTGAACTTAAGGACCTTCCGTCTCGTACTCGGAGCTGGTTTGAATTTCTGGACAAACCTCCAGGGAACAAAACGCAAGGTCGTATGGGGCGGAAGTTTGCGATGGCAATGAGGAGGGCCGGCGAGGTCCCGATGAGAAGTCCCTGGCCCTCGGCAGTTCTTGGGTTGCCTGAATGGCGTGAAGAGCTTAGACAATGGGGGAAGAAGGAGGAAGAGGAGATGAGGAAGGAAGCAGAAAAAGTGAAAGAGGAGATGAGGAAGAAACAAGAAGAAGTGAAAGAGGAGCAGACTGCGTGATAGAATGATAGGTGGTTTTCTGTTTATTTTGTATTCACCTATTTATTGTTGTCGATTGTCATATTCTGGGCATGTAGCTGCTCAACTTACTTACCTGTTGTTATACCCTATTCTGTGACTGTTAGACGAAGATTCACCCTCTAGAGCAAGCCCACTAGTTGTGGCACAATGAAATGCTTTCAATCAATAATGTCTTATATCAGAGTGGCTCATAATGCTACCCTTTAAGTCAATGAATAACTAAGACAGGCTGAATGCTTCATACGAAGAAGTTTCACCCTCCAAAGTGAGAGTAATCCCAGTGGTTGCGGCATAATGGATACTTCCAATCAATAATGTCTTGTATCAGGATAGCTCAGAATGCTACCCTCATGTCTGCCATAACAAAACAAAATGGATGCTCTACACGATTTTGACAAAGGATAAAATAAGCCGTGTCTCCATGTATATCCCCACCCTTGTTGGAAAGTGAACATCTGTTGCAAGGTGCAGTGATTCTTGAACCAGCTGATGACCATAAATGAGAGGATTCATTCCCTTCTTCACTGGCTCAGTCACTACCAACAGTCACTACCAACTTCATTTCACCAAGCTCTGCGACCTAGTTTAAAAGCTATACCCCCAGAACCACAGAACAACTCTCAGCATCAACATGGCTGGTCTGTCCGACAATGTCCTTAGGGCTGCACTCAGAGCTGCAGCAATGGCGCTCATTCTGTCACTACAAGCAATGCCAGAGCTGCGGGGGGTGCACGTTGCAATTATAGGTGGCTTAGCGGTCCAGCACTATGTGGGAAACCGCCGGCGAACCTCAGTGAGTGCACTGAAGAACCCAATTCAGTAACGCATGCTAACGATGCCATGTCTCCTGGCGCAGGATGTGGATGTTCTGCTTTTCAGCCCTGATTATTCTATTGACACCCGAAGGATCCGCAAGGAGCTGGTCTCCCGATTCTCCCATCTCTTTATGGAGTGTGCCGACCCTCTGTTCTTCAAGTACAGGCATGGGGACTCGACGCACTTGGTGCAGGTTGACCTCATTCCTCAATATCTGGTATGTTTTGGTGCCGCGGTCAGACAGACGAGGTTGAACTAATGTGATTGACGACAGCCTCCGTACCTACCCGCGCATGCGATGGCTCTCAGCAATGTCCAGACAGACCATTTACCGTTTATCGCCCCATTAGACCTCATCGCGTACAAGGTCCATTGCTCCAGCATGCGGCCATGTCCGGATAAGCGAAAACAGGACGCTGAGGACGCGAGGATGGCCTGGGAAATGGTATACAGTCTGCGGCTCGTTCCACTCAGCCAAGCGCAGAGCCGGGCCATTTTGCCGGGGCTGGATCTGATGGCAGAATATTCCAACGTTTGTGACTGGATAAAGAAGAGGCTGAGACAATGGGTATATATGTCAGGGGGACCATTCCGTCCACGAAGATGAAGAAGTTGGGGGTCGATTCAATAGTATAGAGCAGTTGATGAGGTCCTGCTGGCCAGAGACTGATATAAATAGATTGTACTAGGGATGGCCCATTTGCAGGTGTTTAGAATGTGGTTTAGTGTATGAGAGAACCATAAACATGGACTGCTTGCTGGCAGACAGGATGATGCGCTGACTGAACTAAACCACTGTGCATGGTAGCACTGTTGGCGTATTCACAGATCCTAACAGACCCATGCTCCATAACAAGAGCTCACTGATCTAAGCAGATGCTGGAATGCCTTACTCCTTTTCATGCTTGCTAAACCTGGATACTCACATCTCCGTCTATCTAATCCATGCGCCACAGAATCCTCACCAACCACCCTCCCCTTTTCTGTCTGCTTCTTCTCTCCATTCATCCCTCCTTTTCACCAAGGAAGAGAAGAACACTAGCTTTGTGTCGATATCTCAAGCTTGGCACCCACTGCATTGACCTCAGGCTGTGGATTCTGCAGCAAAAAAGGATAAATCTCTTACGATGCTCTGGATATAAGGTGATCCCCTACTGTGGCTGTGAACACCAAGCCGCTCATCGTCCTGATTTCATCAGCGACGTCTTGACTGCTCCTGTCTCACGAGCATGTTCCGCAGACACTCTCCAGAAGTGACAGCTACTGGAACAGTGGAGCTCGTTCTTAACATAGTTGTTGAGCACGTGGGTGCGTTTCTTGTGGATGCCTAACGGCTTGCTGTCCGCGCTGTCATTGACCACCAACGCTTGGTTGAAACTGACGACTTGAAGCTAACGCCCAACATTGCACGCTTCATAGAATTATTAAGGTATCAGAAGCCGTTATTGCAAGCACTCTATTGGTCCACCCATGACTAGCAGAGCGCTCGCCACATAATTGCCAACAACTAGACTGTTAGCAGTCTACTATAAGAGGTAGACAATATCAAATTTCAGAGGGCTGAATGCGTTTTCGATGCGATTCGGACCTGTATGTTGTGAATAATGATTAATGATCTGTCTCTTTGGACTCGAGGGAGAAATCACTACAGCTTGTTGAACTCATTATGCACCTGCTGCTCCGAGCACGGACTTTATCTTCTTGAACTGCTCGAGAATAGCAGTCCCCATTGGAGGAGACCTTATTCCGGGAGAATAGCCCTTCAACAAACGTTGCCGCACAATTTGCTCAACAGTGCGGATTTTCTCATTTCTGAGTGCCTACTCAGCGTACAGCTGCTGACCCTTGGTCCACACACTCGGTGCGCGCAACTTCCCTCAAGCCAACAGTCTGAGTCTTCGCATATTCACCGCTTGACGCATCTATACAGATTGTGATAGACGTAGGTGATTCTAATCGCAATAGGTTGAGGATAAGACATGAATGGGTCTTGCAAGTACTTGCACATAGTAGGAATAAGCCCTGGAATGGCTCTGATATTAGGCTCGACCAAGTCGAGTTCCCGTGGACACAGTCAAGCAAATTAACCTGAGCCTCAAAACTGCTGTTCAGCTATTCATTCTTCTGTAAATATGTAATACTCCATTGCTCTGTTCAGCGGACATTCATCATCACTGCCTTGTGATCTTCCGCTCCTTTAGATTAAATAGCACCTCAGAGAGAAACCACAGAAATTAAAGACTCCACTAAAGTAGAGTCAGTGTACATTCATACTGCACTAAGAGTGGATGGTTTATACCTTAGAAGAGATATTACAGGTTGGTATGCCTGCTCTTAAAGTGGCAGGCCTTTGATCAAAATTTCCTAAATGGATTAGCAGAAGGCCAGAAGCCTTTATTATTTACTATATCTTCTATGGGATTCTTAGAATAAAGGAAGAGAGTTGATTAAAGGAAGAAATAGGGCACATATAGTCTATATGTTCTTAGTATTATTAGTAATGTAAGAGTGCCTATTTATAGCATAGTTCTGGCAACTATAAAGTTCTAAGGAGGAGCTGTCTCAGCCACTAAGTTTAGCAGCGAGATGATACAGCCTACCGACCAGGTAGCCTATTGATATACCAACCAGGTATATGTCTGATATAGCGATACAATGATCCAACGCGGATCAAGGATAATAGAAGATACACAAGAATAATAATAGTAAAGATAGAAGCAAGGCCTATTAAGTATATATACGTAATAGTAAAAAAGGAACTAACTGATTGGACCAGTGAACTTGTACGTAAGTACGGAGTAGATAATTAACATTAAACGCGAGGAACTAAAGTAAGAATGCAAGATATGTAGTTGCCATTCTACCATCGCCAAGCCATGGTATATGGTAGTAGATTACGTGACCACAGAATAACTGTTCAGTGATGCCCGTCTCAGATGCTCCAAGCCTCAACCACGGACCGCCCTTTATTTATGCTCTTCCGCGCTGGGGAGCTGATGACTTGTCCACAACATTACTCTCGTTCGTTTCAATTACTGAGTTATCATCGCAATTGCCGTCTCTGAAAAATTGCACATAGATCCCTTGTCTCGCTCACCCATTAATTCCTTAGTACCTGACTTCCCGAGTCCAAATCAACCCCCCATAGTTCCCTAATCAACACCCCGCCCGAAGGTGCACAAAGCACAACAAACCCACCACCACCAGACCAACTCCTCCTCATCTATACTCAATTGCACCATTTCCGACAGGGTCAATACCAAAATGACCAACACAACCATTGCTCCGACGACGACCGCAGCCCCGGTCACTAAGTCCGTCGACACCCCCACCACAGACGAGAACACCCCCCTCTTCTCCCCCTCGCTCATCTCCCCCGATGTCCTTGCCGCCCTTCCCGCAGACTACACCATCCGCCCGCTGTGTCGCTCCGATTACAAGAGAGGCTACCTCGACGTCCTCCGCGTGCTGACGACCGTCGGCGACATCACCGAGGAGCAGTGGAACAGTCGGTACGAGTGGATCCGCGCCCGGAGCGACGAGTACTACCTGCTCGTTGTGTGCGACGGGGAGGACCGCATCGTTGGCACGGGCAGTCTGATCGTCGAGCGGAAGTTCATCCATTCGCTGGGGATGGTGGGGCATATTGAGGATATTGCTGTTGAGAAGGGACAGCAGGGGAAGAAGCTGGGATTGAGGATTATTCAGGCTTTGGATTACGTGGCTGAGAAGGTGGGGTGTTATAAGGTATGTTCTGTCTTCTGTCTTCTTTTTGGGGCTTGTCGGGATGGGCGATTGGGGCTGACTCTTGACGGACAGACGATTCTCGATTGCTCGGAGGCGAATGAGGGGTTCTATATCAAGTGTGGGTTTAAGCGTGCTGGGTTGGAGATGGCGCACTACTACTGAGTTGAGTTGAGTTCGACATTGAGCTGGACAGTGTTTAGATTCGTCGGGTTTGGGTATCTCGGCGTTGAACGTTTTATTTGAGGGTGCATTGACATCAAGGATCTCACGGTGGCATGCTTCGTCGTTGTTTCGGCGTCAACGATGAGTGTAGCTCTCGAACGGATTGATTGTGCTGTGCACAGACGATACTGAAGACCGATGCTCTGAAACCGTACAGACCGCCCAGCACGAAGTCATGCTGTTACCTCCGCGACGAACCGCTGAGACATTTCGGTCCTGAGCCCTACGTTTTTCTGTCATTCAGGTACATCATTTGTTAGAGTTGACCCCTGATAGAACTTCATTTAAGTATGCTAGACGAACTACTAGTAATTGTGAAAAGCACTCCTATTGATACTACGTTGTTAGATGCAAGTCTGGCACTACGAATAGCCCCAAGACGACTTCGAAAAACGTAGGGCATCAATTTACGACCGTAGAAGTAATACAACAAGCATAATCATGAAATCGAAAAGGAGCGAATCCGACGCAACGAGAAGAGGTAGATTGATCGAGAAAGACCGCGACGAATCAATTGACGGAATGCAGATATTCAATCCGCCACGAAACACAAGGCGCAGAAAGCCACTGCACCCAGAAGCTGTGCACCATCATCCGTTGTTTGAGCATTTGATGGGGTTGATGCTTGACAAGATAAACATGTTTGCAAGAATGAAGAAGTTTTTTTGATTCCCAAACAATGCTTTAACCCCATATGATGATTGTTGCAAGCCCATATTCTATTCATGAACCCAGTTTCCTTCCACTAGAGTCAGGTTTGTCGTCCGTTGGTTGTTCCCGTATAAGTACCATACTGAAGGTAGGCCAGAATGTCACTTGTCCAGTATAACCGCCGACTAGATGATGATGGTGATTTGTATGTTCGATGATCGTCGTCGGATCCCCCTTTCTCATCACCTAATTTCCTCCGCCGGAAAAGACGCGGTCAACTTAAGAAGTGGGGTTGGGGTTCATCTGTAACGAATGCCCTGTCAGCGTCTGATGCCTTTTCGATGCCAAGGTCCTCCTGCAAAATCTGCTGGCTGGACGGAGAACTGGTTCCTTCTAAGAACAGAACCCAACTCTCCCGCTCAGAGCATATATGCATCCTTTGTATCGAGCTGGATTTGAACGTACCTTCCGCTTGCCACCAGTCATGGTAACGTTGACGAAACGGCGGGTGTACTTGAGGCGCTTCAGAGCACGGCCCTTGGGCTCCTTCTTCTTCTCTTGCTTCTCGACCTGTACAGTAGAACAGAACCGATCAGCACTCTTGACTCAGCAAAAATCTCCCTGGAAAACATCGGTTCATCATATTGTCTTCGCATATATCCTCTCTGCCGTTTCTGCATGTCGGATCGCTGCAAAAATCTTCCTTTAAAATCCCTCCTCTTCGGTGGCGACGATGAACCCTTCCCAGTAGGAACGCGGAGATCAAAACTTCATTATAAGGAAGAACAAGAAGAACTCACCTTAGGAGTCGCAGACTTGACCTTACCCGCACGGGCGAGAGATCCGTGAACCTTACCCATGGCTGCTGGTGATGTGTAGCTTGTCGGATCGAGATGGTAAGTTGACTGAGGTTGAACTCTTTCGGGGCTTCTCTGGAGCGGGTGGGATTCGATCGACTCTTGTGGGCAAAGCGCGCTAGGCTGTTCCGTAAGCGAGATGGCGACCTGTGATTAGTCACCCCATTTGTTTCTGCCTCAGGCAGAAATAGTTTCGTACTGATCGCTGTGTGATTTTAAGTTGGCACGCGGTTAGCTCTGTCTTTGCGATGGTTATTGCGATACTTTATTTGATATTCATGTCTATGTCAATTTCATCCTTCCTATGCTTGGTGATGCTGTACGCAGATACGGGTTGGAGTATTCAGCCAATATCAATTGCCCAAAAAGGAATGGATTAGGTTTGAGCCCTACTCCATATCTAGCTAGCAGGGCATTTAGAATACTGTATTGTAATTACAACTATCCGGTGCATCAAGATAAGCAATCCGCAACTACAGCATAGCCACTCAGACCTATGATGCAACTGGAGTGCTTTTGTCCAGCCGATCATGGCGTTGATTCTAGATATCTGGACAGTGCAGAATCAAGTACGATTTAAGAGCTCTAAATATCGTCTCTCTTACCTGTGGCTGTGAAATACCTAGTACATCTACATCTCTACCACGTTTTGCTGATAGGGCCATTTAGAAATAGTCTGGCGCAGAGCAAAGTGTTCTGGATTTGTAGTAAATCGAAGGATCCTTTGAGTGTATGCAGAAGCAATGGGCACTAGAATCTACAAGCAGGAGAGGAAATCTGTCAGAAAAAAAGAACAAGGGCTTCATTATAACATCCATTTTTCCATTCCTGGTAGTTACCATGGCGCGAAAATGACAAAGCCTATCTGAACACCCTGCGGGTTGTCTCATCCGCAAGAGCCCATCGCTCGCACGCCGATTTGTTGTTGTTAGGATTTTGCGAGGGAAACAAAATTCCAGCTCCGGAAACCTCCCAAAGTCCAACCACAAGGATCCTCCTATCTACTCCCCAGCCCAAGCCGAACCGCCTTCAATCCGTTTAACGAGACTTGGCGGCGACCTTGGGAGCAGAACCCTTAGCACCCTGCTTGCTCTGGATGCGCTGAGCAGTGCCCTTGGCGGCGGTGGCGGCGTTCTTGGCCTTCTCAGCCTTCTTGCGGCTCTCGGAAGCGGCCTTCTTCTCCTTGGCCTCCTTGATAGCCTGCTGGCGGGCAGCGGCACGAGCCTCAGGGCGCATGCTGCGGCGCTCCTTGATCACATCAAGGGAGGCACCGACGATGGCACGCTGGTGCTTGACGACACGGCGGGTGCGCTTCTTGGCAACTTCCTATTCATAGTGAAAACATACCCTGTCAGCAATTGCTCTTCCACATCTTATTTCGCGTCACCCGTGATTGTTTCAAGCCTCATTTGTCCACGCATTCAACGGCAGTTCCATGCCTCCCCAACGTATAAAAGCTCCCTTGCCCACTCTCCTGCTTCGAACCAATCACGGGATCTTCGACAAATCTTCAAAGGAATTCGGTAGTACTGACTTCAGAGATACCCTTCTTGTGCTGACGGCGGTAGAGGACAGTCCAGGCTATCCGGCGAGGGTTCTTGCGCTGGAGGAACAGGGACTCGGACTTTCCATTCTGGAAGCGGAAGATCTTGCTGTCGCCACGGACGTACAGCTTACCCTATAATTTCAAATCCAACACTATGTTAACCCATATCCAGAGAAGAAATTTTGTGGGACATTTTCATGAATCGGCGTTGCGCTCGTAGAGAATCGGGGCGGAAATTGCTGGATGATTGATGACTCCGGAAGGGACAAAACGCACCTTTCCAGGGTAGATCTTCTGACCGCTGAAAGAATCGTCGTAGGTACGCATCTTGAACGTTGGAGATGCGCAGCCGGTCGAGACGAGGTTTTGTCGGTTGGCGTTGGGGTGGTAAGTCGAATCGGTCGCTGCGGCGAGCTGTTCGTGAGACCGACACAATTGTGGTGCGGTGCGGAGCCAGCCTCGCTAAAGTGCGACACGTGACCTCGTCTGCCCTTGGGCGGCCGCCTTCCAACTTCGGACTTCCTATACCTCTACGGCGACTACGATTACATCAAAGAAGGGATCATTGCAATGGAATTGTTATCTGTTGGCTCTTTCTCTGTGATCGTAATGTAGTTCATAATCCTTTTTTAACTTTTTCCTTTTTCCGCTTTTTTTTTTTGGCTTTTCCCTTCGTTCCCCAATATGATGCTCTCATGCCAATGATCTCTCAAAGGAGCTCATCTCGATCGATGCTCGAGTGGCATGATAGCTAGAGACCAACTTTCCCTTGCAATTGAATCTGCATTAACAGAGTGACTTTGCATCGAGTAGTCTCAATGATAGCATCAGTAATCATGCCAGTCACACGCAGCCCAGGGATCTTCCTTGCAGTCCTATGCAGAGAAGGGGCTGTTAGCATTCATTTATGTGCAATCGGCAAGGAGAGAAGAGAAATATGGCATTGCTTACCTTGCACTGGACATCGTGGCATAGCTCGACCGGACAGATACCCCAGCAGTCGGAGCAGACATACCGTCCGCAGCCTCCGGGTGTGGTGCACAGGGAGTAAGTGCTCGCCTCCAAGACGCTGTTGCCCAGACGCTGGATCAGCTTAAGAATCTGGTTTGCGGCTTCAGCATGTTCAGGGGTAGAGTCTGCCTGGGCAGCGGTGCGGCGAGCAACGTCGAAGATGCAGCATGCTTTGCCGCAAACTGGGCAGTCTCCGGAGCACTTGATGCACTTTGTGTTCTTTGTGTCCCATTTTTTGGCATTCTGCGGAGCCTTTCCAGTCTTGGTATCCTCGTCCGACTGTCCCTGGAATATATTCTTCACGATGTGGCGGATTACTTCAAGCTGTCACTGTGTTAGCTGTCTGGAACTATCGTGAACCAGCTGACAGGATAGCCACAGCTCTTACTCTCTTTTCGACAATGCTTCTCGGGTCCTGGTCGTTCGCAGCTTCACCTTAACTGGTCAGCAAAATCCACGCTAGTCCTCAGACACCTTTGTGCTCACCGAATTCGTCCTCACGAGATTCGTCCTCACCAGATCCGACTTCGGTACTCTTGGCCTTGGGGGAAAGACCAGGGCTGGAGTCGCTGTTCGCGTTGCTCTTCTCTCCGGGGGTTTCGATATCAAGGAACACATAGTCTGTTCATGTCTGAATCAGCAACCTGCTGAAAGACTAAACCGAGAAATTCAATAGCTCTTACCACCAGGGGATCTGAGGCACTTGACGACCTTTGGCTGCGCAGTAGAGATAGCAGCAGGCTTTCCCTCTCTCTTCAGGCCCTCAGAAATTTCGAGCTTCTTGAGGCCTCCTTCAAGACGCGCTGCGGCATCTCCCTCACCCAGATCTATATCAGTCGCCGTGACCGAGGCGGAGCGGATAGAGCGAGTCTTGCCTCCACTGCCAGCGGAGGAGGACTGAGTCTGCCAGCTCTTTCTGTCCATGCTGCTGACTTTCTTGACAGAGTCACCAGTCATCGTTCTGCTGAACTTTCTTCTGAAAGAACTTTCCTTTGGGGATGCTCTATCAGGATCCTTCTGTTTGACCGTCAGTTTTGCTGACTTGCAGTTTCTTGGGCAACCGAGCAGAGACAGCGAGACACTTGCCTTGTTTACCACCTGCGATGAGCTCTCCGCTCTCTTTCTCACCCTCTCAGGCAGATCCTTCAGGTTTGGCACTGCGGGGAGATCAGATGCGGGATGCGTAACGTCGCGAGACGAGATTCTGCTCTCAGACTCGAAGGAGCGAGACCTTCCGAGTTTGAGCTGCTTCCCTGAATTCTTGATATTGCTAACAACGATATTATGAGCGGGAGAAGTTGCAACACGGGATGTTGTCTGCAAATACCTGACACAAGTATCTAAAGCGCGAGCAACACGACTCTTGGGGACGATGAAACTGTCAGTGAGAGGGAAATATTCGCTTTGTTGTTTTTGGTATTTTAGTCTCTCGGCGTTCATCTTTTTTTCACGCTGCTTCTGAGCCTTGCGATCAGCAGCGTGAGGGTCCGGACTCATGGTCAATTGCTCAGTGTTGGTATCGATGAAAGACAGTCCTTTAAGAGTTATGTCTGAGTATCAACCCGCCAATTCTTACCAGAAACTCTATGAATGGTATTCAGAAGCTCGCGATATCAAGGTCTTAATGAAGAAGTTTCTAAACACAGTAGAGCTACAAAGGCTTGTGAAGTAATCTGAGGCTATACCATTTCATAACAGCATTTCGGATATAAGTTGTTTTCGATCCGGCCAACAAAGGGAAGTGAATGTTCTATACCTTAGTACCTACAGGGTAGCCAGCAGTGGCAGAAACTCAGGGCCTTTTATTCACTCACAAGGTCTTCATCTGGGTCAGCTTTCAAGTCCCCGACTATCAAACTACTTTTCATCATCTGGTGTTGGTGTTTCAGGCTTTGTGCATCTATGCCATATAAATGGCTTTGATGATTATCCTGACTTGTAGCGTAATCTCACTTCTGACAGTTCTAAGGCTATGCCACTCCATATCATTACGGATAATTAGGAGGCCGCTGCCTTTCTCAGCTCACTGGCGACTCTCTGGACAATTCGCTCAAGTATGTGTCGTATACGATACTCAGGACAGATACAAAGAGTGGTAAATAGTCGGAACAGAAGCCACAAGCACTAGTTAGAACTCGATACTCGCTAAGTGATCATTTTGGGGGCCGATAGTTCTATATAGGAAGGTCTAGGCAGCATGGTGTAGTTGTGAGATGACAGACATGCCAAAGTGTGAGTCAGCAGCTTGAAGCCGGAAATTCCACAAGTCATAGCCACAAAATCGCGCTGCTTTCAGCAAGAGAGGAAGTATAGACAACGAAACGGAGAGTACACCAAGGAGACTCGTCCCACGTGAAAGGCATAGCGCATGTTATAGGGCATGGTTGGAACCACAGGAGAGCCACCAGGGCTTGCGCTTGCGTGATATTTTCTTCATGGTCACATA